GCTCCATTACTGTCTCCAGGATTTTCTTCCAATCGGTTGACATCCAATCTCCAATTTTTGATGCACACTCACAATCAATGCATTAAGTTGCCAGCTTTTTTTCTGCCACATGGCTGAGAGCCATTGGAGACCTATCCCAATTTCAGAGATGCTAAATGTGAAAAAAATAAGTTTCTCTTAGAAATGATCAAATTTGGGGCTTGAATACAATACACCGAAACTCACTATTTGAGAATGTAAACACTGTTTGGACAAAAATGACCAAAAGAGAGAGATCTAAAACAGAAAACAGTTTGTTTAGTTCAATGCCAGGATCAATATCATCTTTGAACACTAATCCCTTTCAGCTTTTGTCACCCTCCCATCTGATCCCTCTCCTCTTCACAGCACTCCCTCCATCCTGATGTCCTCCATGACACCAATTAGAGCTGGCAGGAAGGGAAGCAGACTCCCTGCAGTTCTCCCCTCAAAGAAACCATTCTTCTTTTCTCTTGGTACCTGCAGAATTCTCTTCTCTGACATGGCAAAACCTCTAGGACCTACCCAATTTGAGCTATAGACAGAGGTAGCAACCCAATTATGATGAGGATTGTGTCATTAAAAATAATGACTGCAAACATGAGTCCAGTAATTCTCATTTTTAAATAAAGCAGCAGTGCTTTTCAAGCCTTCTCAAATTTTTCTTTGTGGTAAAGCGTAAGTGGCAAATGGCCTCATTTTTAATTCCATTCCAGAAATATTTACTCAATGCTTTAAGTGTTTAAACCTGTACTTGGGTTGGAGATGAAACCCCAAGAGAAATAACTTCATATCCTTCTCAACCACTCACCCAGTATAACTGGAGAGAAAAATATACACTCAAGGCAAGTTAAAGATTACATTTGTTTTCTAGGTCTAATACAGACCTTTCTGCTTCTCTCTCTCTGTCTCTCTTTGTTTTAGTTTGTAAGGCAGGGTTATAAGAACAATATATCAAAATGTCAGCAATCTAAAAATTAAGTCGTCAGCTTTTTCTCTGCACTGCAAATTACAAAAGAATTAGGGGTTTGGTGCTAACAGGAGGTTACAATTCTAAAGTGTGCAATTTAACCAATCATTGCAAGGTCTAAAAATGCAGTACAGAAGACATTTCAACGAAGTGATCTGCTGTTCTGGCACCTAATTTCAACTTCTCTACTTGTGCCTTCTTCCCATTTTTCTTCCTTCCCTTTGCTTTGGAAATGTGCTATTGAACAGCCACACAGTTAAGAACTGCCCAAGAGCTCCTATGTACATAATACACTAACATGAAAAATGACAGTCATCTTAGCAAAGAGATACGGAAAAGAGAACGAACATCTGTGGCTATTCTGTGGTTCTTCATTTTTTATGCTCACATCAACATTAAACTCAAAGATCAAAACATGAAATGTACTTTATAGTCTCAGAATTTCACTCTTTTATAATTTATTCAATACGAATTTGGGTGAAAAATAATTTGATCATCTCTACACTAGAATTCTAAATTAGGATAAAAATGTGCAATTATAAAATTAGCTAATAGAAAAAACTAAATATAAATCAATTACCCCAAATCACTGCAGATATCTTCTATACTTATGAAATCCCTAGCTTTTTCCAATTGCCAACTGCAATCACATCACTTAAAAATAAATGAGAACATTGCCTTCCCAGTAAACAAACTGTATCTTTATAGATGCAATATACTTTTAAAAGACATTAGAATTGAGCAAGAATGCTATTTTAGAACAAATAAGGAATATATTGACTCAATACATAAATAAAAATATGTACTCATTACTCTTGTTCTGCAGATAATTTTTTAAATGGCCCCTTTCAAAAATTACAGTATATTCTTCTATAAAAGGAATATTCAATGATTTCTACCATTTCACAAAAAAACCTATTCTTCCTTGCTCTTGGAGACACATTCTCCCAGGCAGTCTTAAACTCATTTCTATCTTCCAGGTCTCCAAACAATACCTTGTGGTGCAGTTCAACTTGAGGAAGGAGAGTCTCATTCATGGACCAGGCAAAGTTAAAGCCAGCAAGATGCCTCAGACGTCTGGTTTTGCCTGCCCCACCCTTGTTTCCTTTGAGCCATAGTGATGTCACAACACCAGGCAGGGCAATGACTTCACTGCTCCGGTCCCTGCCTCTGAGCACATAATTCTTTACAGCCAAGGCAAATCAAATGACAGCAGAACCCTCCAGGAGCCCAAGTGCCTGATGAATTCCCAACAAATTAGCAGCTAGCTAGCCTTTTGAAAGAAGTAGATGCAGCAATGGCATCATTAAGGATCTCTCTAAATGAAGTGGTGCTAAAGATAAATTTGATTCATGGGTTTCAATGGTGAGCCTATATTCCATAATAAAGCTGACATTCAAAGAGGAAAACTGTGATGGGGTACTTGGAAGAATCTATGAGAATTAAAGATGACCAGGGTAGACCACTTAAGAACCCTCTCTCTTCATTATAGTCAAATTCTTACAGAAAAGAAACATTTATTTTTCAGTCTATTCTAGGAGTTCTATTTTTCTGGCCAGGGCAAGAATTCCAATTTGTGAAATTTAGGACTTCTTTCTAAAAGCTCTAACTTAAAAGATGAATGCACAACCTAAATGGAAGAAAACCGTACAGCAAGTTCCTGCCACACTTAATCCAATATACTATAGTAAACCCAGAAAAGAGTCACAAGATAAATAACAACATCATCTCTCTCAGTACATGGACGGTTGCCTCTCTTCTATCTAGGTGGTCCCTTAATGCATTTGACCAATTTTTTTTAAAAACATATACATAAAATTGCATCTGATCAAGTAAAAGAAAAAGACTCCCTGATCGTGTATTTCAACACAATTCAAAGTTGGCCAAAGTTCAAGCACTATACAAGAATTGATAAACTGCTTTTTATCTAAATTGCATTCATGCAGAAGGAATGACTTAAAAATTAAGTATAAATATTTCACTGAGACACTGACTTTTGATCTATAGTTCCTGAATCCTTCACAGAAAAAGGGTTTTCAATTTAAAGTGGCTACTCTTCCTGTTATTGATAATTCACTCAGAAAGCATGTTCTGTTTTGCAAAAATTATTTGTCTAAAGAGTATTAGCTAAATAAACTTTATGCAGTAACCTGTGCATCTGATTATTTTGCTTTTCTGAAGTCCCAATTCTTCAGTTTAGAATTTATTTCCTCACAATAGCTTTGTCACTTCAGCTAAAGTTTTAAAAGTTTGATACCAAAGTTAATATGCATTTTTTTAAAAACCTTCGCAGAGTCAAGATATAAATCACCTCTCAGTCCCCAGAGTTCACTCAAACTTGATGTGCTCCCTTTTCTTAATAGGCTTTTCTGCTTAATTTATGTAACTGGTACTGCGTCCGTGGTTCCCAGATATAAGTGGAGCTATATCATTTTTCTTTCCTTGAGACTTTAAAAACCAGTGTAAAACTCAAAAAGAATGTTTTTAGTACTTGGTGTGATGGTGACGGCTTCTCTACTATGGAAGTTAAAGCTACAAGGACAAATTCCAGCCCACCTGGCTGCCTCAGAGAGCCTAAAATGGGCCAAAAAAAAAAAAAAGACAGGCATAACATCTGCGAAACCAATTCCGCAAGACTAATGTAAAAAAGCTGAAACAACTTAAACACGTAATGGAAGCACAGCATTCGCAGGACTTCCCAGCCCAGCCTCCACAAGTAATTAATACCACATGTTTTCTTTATCATTTTATTTGTTCTGCAACAATCTCTTGCTAACTTTAACACTGGGCTGCAACTAAAGGCAAACCTCCTAGAAAACTTCAGATCCGTAAATATAAAAAGGGAAAAAGGAAAGAACGCTCGCACTGCAAAGGACCACAGTTTAAATTTACTAGATAACCACACCCACCGCATTGCAGAAGCCATGAACTTGGCGCGTGGGGGGTAAGGGGGGGTAGGGGAAAAAGTAGGGCGAGATTAGAGGGGAAACCCGAGAAAGCAAGCCCCCGCGGCAGGAGCCAAGAAACACCACCGGGAATTGGCGGAGACCCCAACTCCAGCGGTCCGAAGCCCTGGCCTCCCCACCCCCACCGCCGCAAAGCCGCCCTCGCAGACACCTCCCGAGGCGACTCGCAGCCCCGCGGGCGCCAGGTGAGCAGCGCCGTGCCGGCCTCCAGGCCACGGCAGGCCAGCTGGACGCCCCCGGCCTGCCCGCGCAGCGGTGCCCGCGGAGAAGAACAGGGGCAAGGCGGCCCCGCAGGTGCCCGGGCGCTGGGCAGCCTCGTGCGGACGCCCCCTCCTCCTACCCCGCCGGCCCGGCTGTGCCCCCGCCGCTGGCCGGGGGAAGCGCCCCAGTTCGGGGAAGAAGGCAAGTTATATAAAAGCGGCCGGCCCCGCTGCCGAGAGGGGATGCTTTGTGCCGAGCGCACCTTACCCGCCCCGCGCTGGCAGCCGGGACCAGCCCGCGGCCGCGGCGCGCAGGGCCCCTCCCGCGGCCGGCCACCCGCCCCGGCGGCGCCGCAGTGTCGCCCCCCGCCCCCCACGCCTCCCTGAGGGGAGGGGCCGGCCCGCGCAGCCCGCTCGCCCTGGCCCCCAGCCCGAGGGGTAACTCAAAACATGGCGCCCCGAGCGGGGGATTTACGCAAATTAGCAGAGAAGGGACGCGGGGACCGAGTCGCCCCAGTCGCCGGACGCCGAGGGAGGCCCCCAGGCCGGAGGCCGGTGCTCGGGCTCAGCGCGCCGGCCCAACCGATGCTGCAGCGCGGCGGGCGGGGCGGGCGCGGGGAGCGGCGCACGGGCTCGGCCCGGCGGGGGTCCCGGCGACCGGGCGAGCCCGAGGTCGGGTGGGGACCCGGGCCGCGCCAAGCGGGGGGCTCCGCGATTCGAGCGACCGCGCGACACCGAAGCGCGCGTTAGCGGCACAGCCCCGCGCGCCGCGGCCTCAGGCTCTTCCTCCGCACCGTGTAAGCCGAGACCCCCTGGCATCCCCCACTCCGGAGGTAGAAAAGTTACCTGGGATCGGCGGGGAGCCCGGGCGTGCAGCGGCGTGGGACCAGCCTGGGGCTCGCGTCCGCGTCGGCTGTGCGCAGGAGACTCGGGCGTGGGGAGGAAGCCGCAGCCCAGGGCTGCTCGCCGCGGCTCCCCCCGCCCCCCTTGCAGGAGACACCGAGGCTCCGCGGAGCTGCGGCGCGGCCCACGCCCAGAGACGGTGCGGAGCGAGCCAACCTCGTCCCGACTTCCCTCCCTGCCGCGGGGGAGGGGGCACCGCAGCACTTCAGGACAGTTACAGGAGAACAGCCTCCCAGTCCTGGCGCAGGGTCTGGCTCCAGGAAAAACGCCTGAGACAGCTGCCGATAGCCTTAGCCCTCGGATTGCCACTTAGATTCCCGGCCCCTCTACTCCCCCGCCCCTCCCGGACACCCCCGGAGAGAGAGGGAGGGGTACCCCTGACCTTCAGGTGAGTTATTTATTGGCTTAGGGACTGCAGTATTAAAGAAGGAAAAAAAAAAAAAACCTTCAAATTGGCTGCGTCTTGCACTGGATGTGTGCACAAGAAATAAAGAAATATTATAATAGAGAAGACCTGAATTAAAGGTTGATAAAGGAGGTTGCCGGAGCAACTCAGCCACTGCCTCATCCCCATGGACTATAAGGCTTTTCCCCGAAATGGAGGGGAGGAGGCTCACACTCTGACTTGTAGGTAAACGACAGAATTCCTGGTCATCTCACAATCTAACTTTTAACCAAGTAACCAAGGCGTATTTAAAATTTTTAACTGATTTGTTAAAATTTTGTTGTGTATATTTAAGGCATACAACATGTGTTATAAGACAGGTCCCCAACCTTCTTGGCACCAGGGACCGGTTTCATGGAAGACAATTCTTCCACGGTGGCGGAGCTCTGCGGCCTAACAGGCCTCAGACCGCTACTGAGGTTTGAGGACCACAAAGATACATACATAGTAAAATAGGTATTATAATGGAACAAATTAACATATCCACCACCTCAGACTTACCCATTCACTCCCACCTCCATAACCATGGCAAGAGCTGCTATAATCTACTCATTTAACAAAATCTTGAAAACACTACACTTTTGTTAATTGTAGTCCTCATGTTGTACGTTAAATCTTTAAAAAATGTAATGCCCTTTTCAAATCACCTGGTCACCCCTCCAGGAGCTCAGAGACTCATTAATGAGAGGGAAAACATGGAATCACAAAAATATTGCATTTACTACTGGGTGCCAAAGCTGTGATGCAGGCAGGATAAATGTCTCTGGCCGAGATAAGCAGGCCTGACCTGTTAGTCCTGGGGAGGTGGGGACACTTGGCCCAGGTTTCTATAATAGTGACAACTTCAATAGAAAAGGGGGATGGCATTTGATTACCTTGGCTGAAGCAGAGGGATTTTTGTCAGCTGGAATGGGTGGGAAATCGGAGGGAGAATGGGTGGGAGGTTGGAAAACGATGATTACTATGTTGCTATGGAGTTTACGGGCCTGTCTGTATTCTGTAGAAGATGTGCAGCTTCGGGAAATTTCGAGCAAGAAAGTGTGACAAGTTATATATTACCAAAAACAATCTGATGGTTCTGCAAAGACCAGAACGGATGGGCAAATACCAGGTTGCTGATAGGTAGAGACTATGGCATTGTGACAGGTGCCAGAGGTAATGAAAACCTGAATTGTCTTTCAGGTGACAGTTCAGATATAAGATATGTTTGAGGATTACTTGTATTAATGTCCTGTCAGGAAATCTCCCACTCGAGTGTTAGAGACATATGTGCACATGTCACATATGCACCTAGATGGCTGTGTACGTGGGTTGCATATAAGGTCTGTGAATGAAGGAAGGATTCATCTTCCTTTTTTGCGTGTACACCAGAGCACTCTCCTTTGAAAGTGGACTTGAACAAATCGTATTGTTTACAATAAACACTAATTTGGCATTATCATTCAAGATACAGATGGTTCCATATTTTCATTCATTTTATTGCAGTATTTTTGCTATTTTTTTAATTGAAAGCAAACTGTTTTCCTTATGACTCATGAATCTTAATCTTTGTGGTGATGAAAATCAGCCATAGTATTGTAATGACTATCTTCTTAGAAAAATGTTAGAATACTGTTATTTTTTAAAAGTTAGAAACACCTAGCTAATTATCGTAATAGTCCATGAATTCAAAATTTGGAGTAAAAACTGTACTGCCACATAGTTTAATAGTAAATCTGGGAAGCAATTACTATGGAACCCTCTGAGCTTGACCAAGGTTCTCCGCTATTCTTTTTTTTTTTTTTCTTCCTAGCACAGATGTGGAGAAAGAGAAATGTCAGACATAGAACTTGTAAGCAGTACGTAGCTTCCTCAGTAACTTGCTTGTATCTCAGTAATAACACACTCTTCATTCTATCTTGTTAAACTCATGCAGGAGCCTCTCTTAGTCATCTCTGTCTCCCCACAGTGTCTCACTGGGTACATTGCAAGCCAAGCCTTACACATTTTGCTAAATGAATGAATGGACGTTCAGTAATGAACTAAGCTGTCACTTTACTTCGACGATTCAGCTTCCTCGTGTTTAAAATAAGGGACTATTTCCAAAATTCCTTAGGGTTCAATAATATTAGGGTTCTATAAAATTAAAAGATGTCCCTCTTAATACTGAGTAAAAGCAATAATGAAAAATCTACTGTTTAACTCTCATCATAAAATAAAATAAATAAAAAAAAAACTTCTCCACATGGAAAGGAGAAGGAAAGTAACAAAATAAAGGAGAAGGCAAGGTGATGATACAATTACAGTTGGATTTGCTTTCTTTCTTAGAAGACTAACTTCTCTTTGCATCCCTCTCGCTACCAAAAATAAGCCACCTATAGCCCCAGAGAATTGTTTATTCTTGTCAGTGTAAAACCCGTCATGATGCTGTTTCAATAAGTTACAGAAAAGAAGTTCTTGATTCCAGGGAATGCATCTCACACAGTTCCAGGGTTAGTGCTGATTTGGCATTAGAACTCAGTTCTTAAGATTCCTGGCTTACTCTGTCCACACAGTGCTATATGGAGCGTTATGCAAATACTGAAATCCATGAAAAGTAGAGAAAAGTTCCATGACGCCAGCCTAGGTCTTAGGATGCCCATTCTGGTCTCCACCACCATACTCGGGCTTACTCTACAACGCCAGTCTTATGGTATTGTGGGCTTCCTGAAATTGTTCTACTGTACATAAGATACAACACTGAAGGCCGGCGACCACCCAGAATTCTAGCCAGGGTATAGCTTATTTCAAGTAAGATGTGTGTGTAAATTCATTTCAAGCTAAAGAGACAGGATTCCCCATAACCTCCATCCAACCACAGGAGTCAATAGAATACTGACTCATTGACACTTACTGGTACTCTACTACTGAACAGCAAGGATAATGCCAACCTGATAGCCAAGGCAAGGAAAGAATTTACAGGTTGTATTGACAGCCATAATGTCAGCCTCATGGACAAGATATCAGAAAGAAATGATAGAGAATCAGTCCAGTAAACCCATCTCAACTTTGCCCCCAAACATGAGAATTGTAAACATGAGGAATATTGACGCTTGACCAAACCCTACAAATGCTGCTCTAAATAGACATACACACTCATTTGTCCTCATTTATTCAACCTGAGCTGCTGCCTTAGTAAAATGTTAACAACACTTGCAGTAACTAGTTGAAGCTTATTTTATGCTCAGAATAATGGCAGGCACCTGAATTGCATATCAAGTCCTTGAAATCAGGATATAAAGTCTTCAGCCACAGCATTACTGGGAACCATAAATAAGAGAAATACGGGGACGAATGCATAATTCAAAAGCAACCAGCTTATTCTTCTGAAATACAAATTTGTTGAAGAGTTTCTAGGTTCTAAGAATAGCTTTACGTTTACAGCTCATTAAGGCTTCCAGATGCTCTCTTCATTTCGGGTTTGTATACATCATTTCAGTGGTCTGTATACATGTAAAGCACAGATGCAAAATGAAATAAAAAAACCACTGGTAAGTACAAATGTAGCACAAAATGTACAAAAATGTGTACATATGAAAGGGAGTAAATTTAGGCATACTAACACACCATTTAAGAAAATATTCCTATTCATCAGAATTCCTTATTTGCCTACTTTCTCTTTGTACTCTTATAAAAATAATAGCCATAAAGGTGGGCCAACACATGTTATGTAAGGTTCATTGTATTAAAACATACTCCTATTAATTTTACTTTCTACATTTCTAGTAAATTTAAGAAATACGTTTTAGCACTTTTAAATAGTATAATTTTTAACAATAGAATTACAACTTATTCTAACAATCAGTTCTTTATAAAGTTTAAATGCACATTAAATGCACAATAATTTTATTCTTCTCCCCTTACGTAAAAATAAAATACCCATTACAAATATTTCGATTTAAGGATTTTATATATAATGTAAAGAATGGAATGGTAAACTATAAAGAATGAAAGTTGTTATTTTGTAACATTATTAAATTCAACTCCAAACCAGATGATCACTATTGAGTTATGCAGAGAAATTGCACATTTGAATCACTTTTCCCCTTTAAAGGCAAAATAAATGCCAGCTAGCCACTGAGTCTCCTGTAAAGTTGTAAATAATCCCAATCAGCTATTATATTTTATTCCAGAAGCTATTGACAAGAATTAACTAAGGCAGAAAAAATGGGTAGTAAGACACATTCAGCAGTCTGGCTTATTAACTTGTTGATGCTATCTCCAGGTTTATGTTCTCTCTAGGAAAACGTGATGCTTAACTTTATAAATGAATAAACCTACGGCGATAACTACGCTAAAAAAAGTCAGCTTAACTTCTTAATTTGATTTTTGTTTTCTAGCATGTTATTTTCCTTTTCCAGCATTCTCACTGACATGCATACTTCAATAGTGTGAGTACAGCCTGAAAATGTGGTTCCACAGTAGTCCACAGCTTCCAGAATGTTCCGGGGGTTAATGAAAACATCAACTAGAGTATCTGTGTCCCTTGAAATAAATTTAATAGGTCAAAACCATCTGAAAGAAAAGCCTTGGCTATTGTCTCTCTCCTGTGCAAGATGTTTATTAGGGATTTGTAAGAATATCCAAGGTTGATTCATTTGTGAATGATACAAATCTGAGGATACTAGAGTTTCTCAAAGTAGGTTGTTTGTGAACAGTTTTTTAAGTTTCATGTTTCTGTGTCAATAATTAAAAAGCAATAAATGTACAGTATTCACACCATTTATGTCAAAATGACTTGAGTGCTTGTTAATAACGCAAATTTCTGGGTTCAGCCCCAACTAAGCAAATCGGAAGCTCTGGGTTGGGGTCTAGCGGGCAGACGTTTTTAACAAGCTCCTTCGGTAATTATAAATCACAATA